ACCTATCATCTAACCCACCCATTTAAATGGGTTGGGTTGGGGATAACCATTGGGTTAACCATTACAGACATAAGTATTAATTCCTTAGCCTTTTTTTTTAATTTTCTTCATTTGAATTAAATAATTTATAATTAATGCATTAATTTTCTATTAATTATTGACTAATTTAGTTTTGTCTTGAATTAACACACTTCACCCAACATAAATCCAAATCAATTTGACCTGAGTCCGAACCAGTTCAACACGGTCTGACCTGATCCAGCATATACCGATCTGGGTTGACCCGATTCCAAAATAGACCCCTGATGGGATGGTTTGGTACCGCTTGCTCAACCTAGTTTGGGTTGTCCGGTCCAACTAGCATTCACGCAGCCCGACCCGGTGCAAGCCGATCCGGGTCAACCCGAATCCGAAACGGTTTCGGGCGGGATGGTTCAGTGTCTGCGTGCTTTACCCGGTCTAGACTGTCCGGCTGACCAATATCCACACACACCCAACCCGATTTACTTATGTTGACCCGCTTTGGATCAGTTGGTTTGGTCCCAAACCCTTGCACAAACCTGATATGGTCCGGTCCAAGTCAATCCACCCTTGATGTGATTAGCTCGAAGATATTAGATAGTTCAAGTTGATTTGACCGATTTGAACCTAAGTGGTTCGGTGAAACCCGAAATCTGAACATAGTCAAATGGCTTGGCCGCTTGTTTAAAAATAACATGCATGTAATGTGATTTGAACCTTCACCACTTGTGTAAATAGTGACTACAATTACTACCAAGCTATGACCAACTTATTTGTTAAGGGAGAGTTAGTTTGTTTTTTAAGTCCATAAATATAAGATTAATGGTTTGGGCGGGTTGGATTGGGTTAAAGCGGGTTTGGCTTGAACCCAACCCATTCAATTTTATATAACTGGGTCATTAATGGGTTGGCGGGTTAGATGGGTTGGGTTGAAGCTCAACCCAAACCCAACCCAACCCAACCCACCCAATTGCCACTGCTAATTAGAATTGCCACATAAGCATATAACTTAAACAGAATGAAAAGAGTAATCTACCCTTATTCGGCTCACTTTAACAGTTTATTTCCCTCTATTTCCTTCTCAAAAGTGAAAATAAAAGAGAGAGAAAGAAGGATACATAGCAGAAGACATATATAGGAAGTATTCATAGAGAGGACTTTCCTTTTTCTTCCTGTATTAGTGAGACTTTTCCTTCCCTGCCTTCCCTTGAGCACTTCTCTTTTCTTCTCTCTTTATCTTTGCTTTTCTTAAGAATCTCTTGTGACAATTTTCTCCGAAGAGTGTCCGTTTGTGCTTCTCCGTAAAGAGCTTAAATAGGGAGTGGGGTAGTTATGTAACTTCCTCGTCCTCCTAGATGAGGGGCACCTGTCCCTCCCACTTAAAGAGAGGGAACTCTCATACAGGATACTTTTTTATAGTTTTGATAGTTTGGCTAGTAGACTAGCTAACCCACTTATTTGGGTTATTAAATTATTAAATGTTATTTGGATTAAAAAAATGCCTTCAACAATTACGTTTCTTTATAAAACTTTTTTCCATATGTTTTTTGTTCTTGCTTCCAAAATTTACACAAATATTTCCTATATTCATGTATTTTTCCATATCTTTCAAAAAATTCACAATTTATTTTTTTTTTCAAAAAAAAAATCAATATATGAATTTGCTAACTTGATCTTGAACCTAGGTGTCAAAACCCTAGATCTAATTGAAATCATCAATATTTTCAGTTCAATCTATGGGTAATTAGTACCCATGATTGTAGTTCCTAACATGTACAATGCTCCTTATGAAAAGTATACCTTTTATACATTTTTTTTATCTGTCCATGTTATTTCCAGGTCCTTAATTTCTGACATGCGGTTCTTTCCTTTTTTTTAAATAGCGGACTGAGGGACCTATCCTTGTTCAATAATCCTGTCTCTAGTCCCTTTCATGTCTGATGTTCAATTTTTCGTCAAGATGTTTATGGTAATCAATTAATCATGGATTGGATTCATTTTTGCATATCTCTCTCTCTCTCTCTCTATCTATCTATCTATCTGACTTGATCAGCAACAGGTAAAGGAGTATAAAAATATGAAAGAGTTCAATCCATGGAAGTATAAAAATACCAGCGAGTAGACTCTTTTTTTCAGGTTTAATGTGGGATATTGGGGTGGGGGAGGGTAAGGGTAGCATTAGGCCATTAACCAAAGACCTACAACATGTAAAGAAGATACAAAAAGTTACAACCTCTATGTTTATATTGGTCCATGCATCCATGACCATTTTTCTTCTGGTTTGTTAATTTTTATGAACAGAAAATCCGTACAATGATCATAAAATTATGAACTTGATTCGAGATGGACATCCTATGACATTGATTGAAGGCTTCCATATATTAACGAGAAGCTGCAATTTTTCATTTTTCTTCTATGCTTTCCATCTTTCTTGCATTGGTGTTGTCTGTCTCATTAAAATTCTCCTTCATTTCCTAAATCTACCAAATGAGAATGACTTCCTTCAAATGTTTTCACAGAACCCAAAGTGGAATCCATCAAGATTGGAGGATGTGGTTACAAGGGAAGTGGATGCTCTATTTGAGCCATTGGACCCTGAAGTCGAAGAACTGAACGTGTGATTCCAAGATCAAATTCTTCCAATCTTTTTGTAGCTTCTTCTGTATATTAACAGCACGTGGAGTTAAGTTACCATTTGAATAAATCATACATCCAATGGAGAATTAGATAAATAAAAAATTGGCATGAGGATGGCACTTCGTACTGGTAGCCAATTTTGACTTTACTATATGCTTAATGTCAACAATAGTAATTCTACATCAATTGGCAAGAGAGGATGAGCATATTTGATAATTCATGGTATCAAGCAATACAGATCCTAATAGTTTGATAAGGTTATAGCAATTTGCTGTTACATGGGTGTCGATACTCTTCATTTTAAATGGTGTAGTTATAATATTTTTCTGTTCTGTGCTCTGTAATTTGGTTTTCATTGCAAGATTCAAGGGAGTTTTAGTTCAGATGAGCCAGTAGATGAGATGGTCACTCGGCGCCGCTCTGAATATAGAAGTGGGATCAAATCCTCATAACTGCAGTCTCTCTGTGGTAAGGTCAGTGGACCTTATGTGTATCCTGCTCTGTCCCCACCCCTTAATCCCCTTGTAATGTATAATATGTAATAAAGTGGTTGAAGCAAAGCTGAAAGGAGATTATCTTTGCAAACATCACTAACAAAGACAAGTTAATTAGAGCCTTAGAGTGTTAAGCAAACATTGGGTTCATTGGTAAATTCAAAAATAAGCAATTACAAGCAATTCTAAGACCAGGATTGGACTAGTTGGTTGTTGGTCAGACCATTCAGGCCATTACCTGGCCTAAAACTGAGCCGGGTTAATATCTACCCTATCATTGTGACAAATGCAATTATGGTTAAGTAGATTTGGGTTGTCTGTAGAGTTTTTTTTTATTAGGGTAAAATACAAAAACCTCCCCTGAGGGCTGAGGTTTGTGACAATCATAAAAACCTCACCTCAAGTTTTGTTTTAACAAAAAAACTCCCTTAAACTTTTAGAAAATTAAATAAAAACCTCCCTTCAGTAGGGGTGGATTTGAGCTGAGCCGAGCCGAATAGTACCAGGCTCGATCTCGACTCGAGACTGTTCTATAAGGCTCGAGCTTGAGCTCGGTTTAAGCCAAAACCTTGAGCTCGAGCTCGGCTTGAGTCAAAAATGCATAAGCTCAAGCTCGATTTTGAGAAAAAATATTTTATAAAAATAAAAATTATATATCTTGAGCTCAAGCTCGGTTCGAGCCAGAACCTTGAGCTCAAGCTCGGCTCGAGTAAAAAATGCATAAGTTTGAACTCGGCTCGAGCTCAATTTTGAGAAAAAAATATTTTATAAAAATAAAAATTATATATAATTTTTTTATTTTATATTTAAAAAATTAATAGCCATAATGATTAATAATTATAATATTTTTATTATATATAATTATATATATATATATATATATATATTCGAGCCGGCTCGCAAGCCTCACGAGTCGAGCTCTAGCAGGTCGAACCATTGAACTAGGCTCGAGCCGAGCTGAGTTCGAGTAGTTCGTGAAAATCTCGGCTCATTGCCACCCCCACCCTTCAGTCACTGACTTAAACGGAAATCGTTTGAGTAATGTATTATTTTTTCAAAATATCTATTTTACCCTTTTATATGATTTCACGTTTCATATAGAACTTTACTAGAAAGAAAATTTAACTTGAATAACTCATTTCTCTCCTCTTCTCCTCTTTCGGTTTTTCCATCTCCTACCCCAGAAACTCCATCGTATAAAAAAAAAGGAAGCATTCAGCCACTGTAAAGTAGTGCGGCCGTCACGAATAAGGGAAATTGCAGTGACCTTGACACTCTTGCAAGAAGTAGAAAAGTATTGGGACTTGAACCCCCTATACTTACGAAAGCACCATGCTAGCTTAGAAGAGTCAAGCGGCCATCAAGAACCAGGGATTCATGGAATTGGGTTTCTTTGCAGCCACCAAGAAGCCACTTCCTGACAACCAAATTGGGTGGTTTTTTGGGAAGTAGGACTAAAGCTGAAATAGAGGCTTCTCCTTCTTGTGTGGATACTCTGAAAGCATTATTCAGACAAGAGGAGCCGCCTGACCACAGAGATGCACAGAATAGTGAATCTTCCAAAGAATATCCGTTTCTATGCAAAATGAGGTCGGCTATACCTACAAAAAGATCTCGCATGACGAATTTGAATTCTCAGATTCCCTTTTCCCAAGTTCATGGTGAAATGGATCTCATTTCCTGAAAGGACTACCACAAGATGCACAAAGTTTGCGAGGCTCACTCTAAAACTGCCAAAGTTATCATGAATGGAGTTGAACAGAGGTTCTATTGTAGCAAGTTAGTCTTCTTCCCTTCTGAACTTCAGTTGAAGTAGCCTTATTTTTCCTTTGGTTCATTTTGAAGTGACTTTCAGTGAAATGTAGTGTTTGATATTTACTTCCAGTTTATGGCATTCCTTAGAACAAACTCTTTTAACTAATTTTCATTCTCTCTCTTTGGATGTTTTTCTTTTTCACATTTTTTCCTTGGGTTGGGGGTAATCTAATCACATTTATTTCCAAATTTTGATAATGAAATTTTCAAAAATTTTGTATGAATCAATTATTAAATTTGATCAGAACTTCAATTCTTTGGTGGTCAAAAAAGTTGAACTTCTTAATTATCAAAAAAAAAAAAGTTGAACTTCTTCAGTACTATGGCACAATCTACTTTTTGTTAGTTAGATTCTTATTAACGGCATAACATAAACACAGTTGTGAGAAGATCTTTTTGTTATCCAGGTTTCATTTCTGAGTTCACGATAGTAAAAAGGGTTCGACTATGATATGAAAAAGAAATGATTTCTGAAAAACTTCTGACCAGTCAATTGGAATCATAAACGTGGTAGTCAATTAGGTGTTATTTATCAAAATTCATGGGTGGATTTTGATTGGTCAAAACTATTTCCATACCATATCTTTTCCACATTATAGATTTTCCCTAGTAAAAATAGTTGTTGTAAGTGCCTTGCAGGCAGCAATGAACGTCCAAGTTTCATTTGCTTTCCAACTATGGTGGTTGAATGCTTCATCTTTTCTAGTTGAGAGTTTCAGTGGTGGTAGATTGAAAGAGAAAGATGACGATAAATGGGTTATTCAAATTAAAGTTTCTTTTAGAGTAATTTTACTAGTATGTAAAATTATATGCAAAAGGATAAAATGGATATTTTAAAAAAATAATGCATCAGTCCAACATTTTCCGTCTAGGTTAATGATGAAAGGGAGGTTTTTTCCGAATTTTCCAAAAGTTCAGGGGAGGTCTTTATTAAAGTGAAACTTGAGGAAAGGTTTTTATGATTGTCAGAAACCTCAGGGGAAGCTTTTATATTTTATCCTTTTTATTATTAATTTATTACTACAATTATTACAGAAATAGAATGAGATGAGACCCACAATCCATGGTCGGAGTTTACACATAAAACAATGCTAAAGTCTTGATCACTGATCTCAACTCTCACGTTCATTTTGGCATAAAAACGGGGGAGGTTTGTTCCCATGCATAAAACAACTGCTTTGAAGGTTTGAAGCGTTCCTGAATCCTGATAGTCCTTAAAATGACTGACCGCGAGTCTGTGACTGAGTCATTTTTGGTCTCTCCCGAGGTGGGCTCTGCCATTTTGGTGAAAAATCCAAAGAGCCCAAATCAGTTCAGTCATTTAAAGGGCAATTCGCAATGTTTGGTAAGTTTTTCCTTGTGGTATTTTGAGCTTCAGCAAACTTGGAAACCAAAAGTCGATATTTTTCCATTTAATAATCAAAAGTTATAAGAAGACGTATGCATGGAAACACCTGAAAAGATCGAAAATATCAAATTTCGAAAAGTTTTAAATGAAGTTTTTTAGTCTTTTTGCGTGATAAATAACCACTAGATGTGTTTTAAAAATCCAATTGATCGAGTCACTTATTAAATAGCCTTTTTCTTTAAAGACAAAGCTCAAAAAGCTCAATACATCCAATCATCTGGGCTGTTGGATGATTTTTCTAAGAGGACTTGCCAAATGACACCTAAACCTCTTCAAATAACTTATTTGAAGCAGTTGAATCAGCTTAACTGAAGCTTCAGCTCAACCCTCCCAAACAAGTCCTTAAACCATGGCCCAACCCCAACCAACTAGTTTCTAAGATGATAAGGTCATTGACTAATGTACAGTGGAGCAAAGGTCAATAGGCTTAAGATTCCATGAAAATTTGGGAGAATAAAAGACAGAATGTGAAGCGAAGTAGGGACGTTAGACAAAGCATAACAAAGAAGAAATTTGTTCCCCACATGATCTCATTCTTTCTTGGCTTTCTTATCATATATCAGTTTGGAAGCGTGGGCGTTTTTTGTTACCGATTTTCAAGAAAAAACATCCATGCTTCTAAGACACCTTTTTCACAAAAAAAAAAAAAAAAACTTCTGCCATGTAGGCAGTGAGCAACACTATGGTGTTTGGTAAGGTGATTTTCATCACCGTTTTTCATGTGCTGACAGGTAAGCACCACATAGGATACACATCAGTCAACCGTTGGGGGAAACGGTTCACCAATGCATAAAATGCCAAATTTTTAATAACCGGCTGAACCAAATAATTTGGTGTTTCATGCATCAGTGGGGTCCCGGTTTTCGAGGCATGCCCAATTTTTAATAATCGGCTGAACCAAACAATGAGATACATGGACGTTTGTTGAAATGCCTATGTGGATCCAACGTGGCACCGTTTTTTTGAGAAACGGCTACGGTTCCAAACATCCCCTTAGATTGCAACCCAACCCAAATAAAATAATACGGAAATTGAACCCAATCCGACTCATCCCACAAATAGCATATGTCAACAGGTCAGGTTTGCCACAGGTTGGTTTCAATCTGAACACAACCAAGGGTGTCAATGGACCGGTTTTGGATTGGACCCCATCCAGTCCAAAATCAATCTGGATGGATTGGATGGACCAACAAGACATATTGGATTAGACCAATCCGATCCAAAATATTTATTAGATTGGATTAGACCTGATCCGTCCATAACAAATTTATATTGGATTGGATTGGATTAAGCCAATATCTGGTCCATTGATATAAGATAAGAATATACGTGTCAATGGATCGAGTTCGGGTTGAAATCAATTTAAATCAAAATAAATTTGAACAGATTGGACGGTCCAAACATTAGATTAGACCGGTCCAAATTGATCCAAAACATTCATTGGATTGGATTGGATTGAACCTGATCCATTTATAATGGTCTCATATTGAACTGGATCGGATTGGACCAAATCCAGTCCAATTGACACCCCTAAACACAATCCAAAACTCAATTAAAGCTCACTAGATCAAAACCGAAAAGGTGCGAG